ATTATTTATAGAAGTAAGTTGGGATTCTTCTATGTTTCTTAGCCATTTTGGGATTGTTTTGTTCTCATATTTTTATTCTTTAAACTTTTGGGATACTCTTCTATGTTTCTTAGTCATGTGAGATTGTTTTTTTAAAACAATTAAACCAAATAACATCATTTGTTATGATTTTTTTTAAGCCCCAATTTTATTTTTTTTATTATAGTTATATAATTATATTTATTATTTAATATATTTTACCTTAAATATTATGTTGTAGTTGATTTGAATCATTTTGTTTCACTTGATTTTATGGTTTTTTATATATACATGTTATGACTTGTGATATTTTTATACCTTTTAATATTGTAAACTTAAAAAAATATTACATATATATTAATATTGCTTTGAATATTATGTAAAATTAAAATATATATTATTTTATATAAAATCCGATTCAACCGCGTTGAACCCGGTTAAAATGAATTAGTACCTTCACCGGTTCAATGTCTGGTCCGGTTTTAAAAACATTACCGAACATGATAGTTTTGGTTTTCTGGAAATCACGTTTGTGATTAATTGACATTTATGCCCTTGAAATTTATGAACCCAACAATAGTGCTTACCCATTACGGTTTCCCTGCTGGAAAAAAAAGTGTTCTTTAAGATTTGATATCAGATGTTGAAGAACACAGTGAGAAGAAAATTTTAAATTTTTGGTGTTGCTCTTCCTTTTTAAGGTATTTTTGATCCATTCTCATATTTTTTCTTGATTTTATTATAAATGGGTTTCATGTTTTTTCTGTTTCAAATCCTTTTTTTTAACGATTGAGTAAGAACCCTTTTTTACGATTGACATATTCCTAAACTTACGTGCTTACTCACTTGTAATGGTTTATCCGAACTGGTTGATGATCTGTTTATACGTATAGGTACACTTAATAGATGTAGAAGGTGGGGAATACAATTTGCGCACAGATGTTAGTGATGTTTTAGACATGTAGAATGAAAAAAAAAAATCTATAAATGTTGATGATTTCATTTTAGAAGAGTCACGTTTCTAGATCACTTGCTTTAGTTTTCCTCTTTTATTTTCTATTTATCTGATTGAATTCTCAATCTGATAATGTTTTTAGAATTTCAAGTTCTGTCAAACCAAAATATTGAATTTTGAGGCAGCCATTGAAGTATTTATTTTAGATAAAAAATAGATTATGCAAGTATTAGATAAAATGAAGCAACATGCACATAAAATGAATTTCCTTTCCTAATTCTCAAAGTTGAGAATAATTTTTTTAGAAGTATGGTTAGTGAAAACAGCAGAAAAATTGTAGAAATGGGGCAAAAACATGAACTAAGCCTGAGTAGATTAGATGGTCTCCTTTTGAATTTCTAAAGGAGGGCATGCATTACACTGCACTTGCATTGATCCAGCAGTAATTCTCTCTTATTGTAAGTTAATTGAATTTGCAGCACATAAACCCACTCCTTGTATTGCTGCACGGAGGTGCATATGCACTTATCTATTTGCGAACGAAGATACAATTGTGCATGTTTTTATCTGCATATAAAACTAATTAGTGATTCAAATGTTTTGAATTTTGAAATTGTTGGTTTAGATCATAAAGTTCTTTGTGCCACAATAAATACAAAGCATTGAGTATTTTGCTATTGAGTGCTTAAAATCTTTGATAAAGCTTGATAGTATGAAAGTATTTAGATTTTTACTTTAAGTTGAGATTATAATGTCATTTCTTGTTCAATTTGAATTAGATCATACAATAATTAGTTCAGACCATGTAGTTTGAGACAGAAATGTTTGAATTGTTGCTTCTTGAGGTTTAAATTTCTGTTTTTGATTTGTCTAATTATAAAATAAACAATGATTACAAATTGCATTAATTTTTTTGAGATTATGTGGATTTTTATGTGTGTGATAGATGAAAGATACATCACATGTTGATGCAAGTGGTGAAAAGGTCAAAGCAACATGGGATAAAATGAAGACAATAATATTTTGTGATCTTTGCATTAAGGAGATATTAAATGGTAATAGACCCGGTACTCATTTTAGCAAAAAAGGATGGATAAAAATAGTGAACAATTTTGAAAAAGAGACAGGGAATGCATATACACGAACACAATTGAAGAATAAGTGGGATTTATTGAAAAAAGAATGAAAGTTATGGAAAAAGCTTAAAGAAAAAGATACTGCACTAGGGTGGAATCATAAAAAAGGAACCGTGGATGCCTCGGAAGAGTGGTGGGAGAGTAGGCTCCAGGTACATTAAAAACTCGTAAATTTTTTGTTTTCTTTATTTATAACATTATTAATAATTGTTTACTTAAACTATTGATTTATATGTAGATGGTGCCCGAAGCTCTAAGATTCAGAACTGCAGGCATTGATCCTGAATTAGAAGGGAAGTTGGACCAAATGTTCAAAGGGATAGTAGCCACAGTTTATAAAGCATTGGCACCTTCTTTGAGCATATTGCCGAGCGATTTTGTTGAGCATGGTGATAACGATACACTTGAAGAAACTCAGGAAGAAAATACATTAGATGATGTTCACATATTAAATCAAGTTGGATACGTTGAAAATGATGAAAGTCCTGGAATTCAATATGTGCCTGTAGAACATGTGCAACAGAAACGAAAATCTGTTGAGATGGGATCTTCTCATTTTAAGGCTGCTAAAAGTAAATCCGCAAAACAAGTTGGAGGGGATGAAAAGTTGCCCAAACAAATCAATAAACTATGCAGTTCAGCTGACAATATGAGTCGAGCCACATCTAGTTTGACTCTTGACATGGACTCATTTTTCATTCAACAAGCAGTCAAAGAACTTGATGAGTTATCAGAGGAAGTTCCAAAAGCTAGTGAATTATACTTTTTTGCCCTGGAGCTAATAATGAATAAAGAGAAACGAGCTGTTTTCTTATCAATTTCTCGTGATATTAGAGTCTGGTGGCTTAAAAGGAAAATGAGGAGAGTTAAAATTTTCTAGTCATCTTGGTACTTGAGATATACAACTCCAAATTTCTCTTGGACATTGATAAGTGTCAGTTTTATTTAATATTTTGTTTAACTTGAACATTAGGAAGTGAAACCTATGTTTAATCTTTGGTTTGTCTTGGACACTAATATGTGCAACCTATGTTTATTATTTATTTTGTCTTGAACGCTGATATCAGTGCTTTCTATGTTTAATATTTTGTTTTACTTTGAAACTTTGAAGTTCAAATTTTTTATTTATTTACGTTAGATTATTTAGCTATGTGTATGAAACACTGGTTTTTACTGAAAATTGTGTATGAATTGGCTTCTTATTACAGGTTCTTGGACAAGGCAGCAATCATGACGGATCCTGAAGCTAGCACTAACAACCGATGGAGACTTTGCACAGTGACTCAAGTAGAAGAATTCAAGTCCTATATTAGAACCCTCCCTATATGGTAATTTAGGATTGCTCTTTCCATCTCATACTCTCAACCTTCTTCGTCAGCCAAGCCAACATCATGAAGTCTTGGTCCACACTTAACCATTCCAGTATGTTCAACCACTATTTTCAGCACCCTCAGCACTGTCCTACACGACCCCATCTACAAAGATTGGATAGGCCCAATCTTATGTGAACACACCGGTCATCCATCTTGGCCACTTTAGTTGAGAAGAAACGTCGAGACCACCCTAACCCCTTATCTTTCTTGATATTTTGGCTGCTCCCGCGGCTCTTCTTAATTGGCAGTGCTGAAGTTTGGGACAATTGGAGTTCTTCTACGACGAAGTGACTGATGGGATGAGAAGTATAAGCAGTGCATTGTTTCTTGGTGAGGTTGGGATAGGGAGTTGGTTAAGCACTGTCACTGTTAAATTCATCTAGAGTGTAACTGGCAGGGAGGGAAAAGGTGGCTAAGGCATGATCTCAACAAAAGCAGGCTCGAAAATCTCTATCGGATATTGACAGTAATCAATGCTGCTAATTCCTTTGTGTATTTGTGTGTGGCTGTACAATATAAGGGAAAGAATGAGGCGGGAAGGAGGGTGGACTCCCGGTTGAGATGGATGTTGATGAAGGCAAACAAGGATCAAGGGAAGCTTAAAAGCATGGCGTCGTGAAATCTAATCATTTTACTTTTAATTCCTCTCTAGTTTTTTTTAATAATTTATTTCACTTTATTTGCAAATCAATCCACTCAATGTTTTCCCAACTTTAAAATGTTTTAGCTTTGCATTTTAACATTTGAATGAGGAGAAGCCAACTAATTATATCTTTAGCTTTTTAGACTAAAATATTTTTTTTAAATGTACAAGGACGAAATATCCATTTCATAATAAAAGGACTAAAATAAACTTTTTGTATAATATAGAAATTTATGATGGACTTAAACTGAATAAGTAAATTATTAAAAAACATATTAAGATATTTGTTCTTTGGTCCTACACTCCCAATTAAATTCAAAATTAAACAGGATTAGAGTCCTGAACTGGAAGAAAAACTCCCCTGGAGCTGAGATATTACATGGAGAGTTGGAGTGATACCATCTTTGATTCTTTACTTTTCTTCCTCCATAAAAAAAATAGTCCTTTATCTCTTCCATCAGTTATTGGGTTCCACTTCCCACTGTTAGCACCAACGTAACAACGTTAAACAAAAAGTCTCCATTTACACTGGTGAAAAAAGGGTCCCTCAAATGGGGCACCCACCCAAATCCCCATTTACACCAAATTAAAGCTCAAGTTGATCAATAGTCATGTTTAACCGTGCCATCTTTATCTAGAAGATGGTCATCGAATCTTTTCATGGTCAAGATCCTGATCGTCTTAGTTGCCTGGGTCTAACTGCACAGTTGAAAGGTCTAAATTGTGTAGAAACATGTTATATGTTTCCTTTTCCCAGATACGTAATGGAACTTCATATGCAAGAAACACAAATGCAAATTCAGGTAATACAAATACCGCATTGTGCTTCGAAATTTTATTATGATTAAGAGATGCATAATAATGTGAACATCAAAGTCAAATGTTTCCTTCTTCCTAAAGCTGGTTCTATCTATAAGGGTTGTTTCAGACATGTTCCCCATTAAATGAAGTAAATGCCATGAGACAAAGAAAATTTAGGTTACGCTACAGCTATATCTGACCTATTCATCTGCAGTGTCCTCTGCATATTTTTTATACTCCGGCTTAAGCTCGTAAGTTCCTTGATTGGCACCTCTCTTATTGTACACGCAGAGCTCGTTCAATATTTCTTTCAGGAATTGCTGCAAAGAAAGTAAATCAAAATCTTTCACAGATAAAACAAATGCTAACTGCTAAAAAACCACAAAAACGACAATCTAAATTCTATTAAGCTGAAAAATATAGCTGATTTGATGCCGCGAAGGGATTTTCCTTTTTCACTTAACAAGCAAATTGAATTTCTACCATATGGGTAGAATCACATATTACAGCAAAGAAATACTCAAATCACTGTTATAAACCATAAGACATATCCAGTGGTATAGTGAAAGAAATGTAAGAGGTTTACAGCAGGTTGATCAGTCTCTTGCACAAGTTGCTTTAAAGTCCAGTTCGGTTGTCTCTCCAACAGCTTGAACATTATATCTTCCAGTTCCCCGCGATCCCTTCGGGTTCTCTTCACCTCTGATTGTTTAACTGGCATCGGTTTCTTCTTATCCTGCTCAGAGCAATGGACAATAGGAGACGTGAATCTATAATTCCAACTCCAAACTAGTGTATGTTTAAGAGCAAAAAAATAAATATCACTCTCTAGAGATCATGTATCAAAGTACCTTGGGGTTAGATGAAATCAGGCCAATCATTCCAGGCATTGGCCTCATGTGCACTCCACGATCATTATCAATAACCTTCAAAATTCATTAAAAAAAACATAAGATGATTGGCATCATCGTAACATTGAAAGGGGAAAATGTGTCTTCCCCCTAAGCAATGCACACTCATTGACCTGCCTGTATTTGCCTGTTCTTGATCATAGACTTATTTGTCCTTTCTCGACACAATCTCCCGTATTCCTCTATGTTTTCCGCATGCGGTTTCATGTCGAATTTATGCTCAACCTTTCCTTCCATTGCAAGCGCACCTATAACAAAAACAGAGTTCAAGTCACAACATAAAGCATAGAACTGAAGTGAAACATCAAGAGTGTTCATATACAACTACACGACTAATAACACACAAATAACGGTATTCATGTTGTACGTAAAACACTGAAACATGACACAGATACACATGGTAGGTCAGAAAAAGGAACAAACTCTAAAGTACTAAATCTAAATAAAAATAATTGAACAATAAAAAACATAAACTTGAATGATTGAGAAGCAAAGAACCATAACTCTGACCTTGACTTGTTTCAGAGAAGACAGACATAGGAACAAAGTCTTTGAACATGTTCAAAGTGTAGCTTTTCGGTATGCTTTCTGTCTCAGACCCAACCATCTCCATAGTAAACTGGAAAATGTCAATTCACAAAAACTCGTAAGAAACGAGACGAGGACAGAATCATTACTTCAATGTTTTCATCATAACAAGCGTGTTGTTAAAAGTTTCAAAGTTTGGCAACCAACTTTGGAAAATGTTTCTTTGAAAAATGTTTTTCAAAGTTTGGTAAAATTTTGGTAGATGTTTGTTGAAAATAGGAATGGGTAAATTCACTTTAGTCATTGCACTTTAGGGTATTTTCAAAGATTAGTCCCTAAGTTTCTACTATAAATACCCTTACCCATTTAGCTTCAAATCATCCCAAAACATTTCTTTCTTCCTATACTAGAGAGCTTTCTTGTGAGTAGTGAGTGTTTTGTAAACACCTGTAAATTTTTCTCTCTTAGTAAAAGATCTGCAGCAGCCCGGAGACGTAAGCACAATTGGCTGAACTCCGTTATCAATTTTCGGGTATTATTTTTTCGCTTTTATTTCGCATTCTCACTAATCTGGTTATAGGGAAATTACTTGTACTCGGTTTATTTTCCTAACAACTGGTAATCAGAGCTTTTGGTTGTGAATTTTGTCAAATTTTCTGTGAGGTTACTATTCATTACTATTCACGTGAATAGTGAAATTCGGTCGGCGATACGAGTTTGTCGACGGTGGTGTTCTAATACACGGTGATTCACAAGAATTGTCAGAACGATCCAAACGAAGCCAGATTCGAGTGGGAGCGATGGCTGCAGACGAAGGGAAGGTGAAATTTGAAAAGTTCGATGATGCGGACTTTGGCTTTTGGAAGATGCAGATTGAAGATTTTTTGTACCAGAAAAATCTATATCAACCTCTCTCAGGAAAGCAACCAGAGGGCATGAAGGATGAAGATTGGGCTCTTCTCGACAGACAAGCCCTCGGAGTTATCCGACTGACGTTATCCCGCAATGTTTCTTTTAACATAGCAAAGGAAAGACCACGGCGGGTCTTATGGCGGCTCTCTCCAGTATGTACGAGAAGCCATCGGCCTCAAACAAAGTTCATTTGATGAGGCGATTATTCAATTTGCGGATGGCGGAAGGGGCATCGGTGGCACAACACCTAAATAAACTCAACACAATCACAACCCAGTTGAGTTCAGTGGAAATTGAGTCGATGATGAAGTTCGAGCTTTAATTCTCTTATCATCTACCAGACAGTTGGAATGCTACTGTTACAGCAGTCAGCAGTTCGTCGGGAAACAGCAATTAAAATTCGCGATGTTCGGGATCTGGTATTGAGTGAAGAAATTCGACGAAGAGAATCGGGTGAATCATCAACCTCCTCAGCCTTGCACACGGAGTCTAGAGGGAGAACTTCAGAAAGAAATTCAAATCGTGACAGATCAAAATCCAGAAGGGCAAATCAAGACAGGAAATAAAGATTTTACCTGTTATAATTGCGGCAAGAAGGGTCACTTCAAAAGAGATTGTCGAGCACCGAAGAAAAATACCGGCGCACAGGAATCTGCTAACCTGACGGAGGAGACATGTGATGCCATGATTTTAAGCGTCAACAGTCCGATTGAATCATGGATCTTGGATTCAGGGGCATCTTTCCACTCCACCCCATGCCGAGAAATCATGGAGAACTATGTCAGTGGTGATTTTGGGAAGGTTCATCTAGCTGATGATGAAACCTTGAAGATCGTCGGAAAAGGAGACATCCGACTAAAGCTGCCAAACCAGACCACCTGGAAGCTGACAGGAGTGAGATATATTCCTGGCCTCAAAAGAAATCTGATTTCTGTTGGACAGCTTGATGGAGAAGGATATAGTACAACTTTTTCAGGCTGTGAATAGAAGATTACTAAAGGAGCACTCGTCATTGCTCGTGGTAAGAAGACCGGTACTCTCTATGTAACCTCAAATTTAGAGAATATCATGCAGTAGCAGATGCTGATGGAAAATCAAACCTATGGCACCAAAGGCTCGACCATATGAGCGAGAAAGGAATGAAGATACTTCTGTCAAAAGGGAAGCTGCCGGATCTAAAGAATGTAGATGTCGGACTATGCGAGGATTGCATCTTTGGAAAACAAAGAAAGTCAGTTTTACAAAGATTGGCAAGACTCCCAAGGCAGAAAGGTTAGAATTGGTTCATATTGATGTATGGGGACCATCCCCTGTTCCATCTCTTGCAGGCTCACTATATTATGTCACCTTCATCGATGATTCAACAAGGAATGTGTGGGTTTATTTTCTGAAGAAGAAATCAGAAGTCTTTGATACCTTCAGAAAATGGAAGGCCATGGTGGAAAATGAGACTGGTTTGAAAGTCAAGCGGTTGAGGTCCGACAATGGAGGAGAGTACAGAGACAGTAGTTTCAGAGATTTCTGCGCAAACAATGGGATCAAGATGGAGACAACAGTTCCCATAACACCGCAGCAGAATGGCGTAGCAGAGCGCATGAACAGAACTCTGAATGAACGTGCCAGAAGCATGAGGATACATGTCGGATTGCCCAAATTTCTATGGGCTGAAGCTATCAACACTGCATCTTACCTGATCAACCGTGGGCCTCAGTTCCTTTGGATGGCGGAATACCAGAGGAAGCTTGGAGCAAGAAAGAAATAAACATTTCACACTTAAGAGTGTTGGTTTATTTCTTATGTACACATAAACTCTACTGAAAGAAGTAAACTTGATGCCAAGTCCACAAATGCGTCTTTGTTGGTTACGGTGGTGATGAGTTCGGTTACCGGTTTTGGGACTACGAAAATCGAAAGATCATCAGAAGCAGAGACGTCATTTTCAATGAAAATGTGATGTACAAAGATAGGTCAACCGCAGAATCAAGTAATACCGAAGCTGAAACAAAGGAATTGCTGAGTTCGAGGAGATTTCTGGAAATGATGTTCAGATCAATCCTGAAGCAGTTCAAGAAGAACCACACACACCAGAACTGAGACGCTCCTCCAGAATTCCTAAACCAACCCAACGGTATTCGCCTTCTTTGCACTATTTGTTGCTGACTGACAATGGTGAACCAGAGTGCTATGATGAAGCAATGCAGGTGGAGGATTCAGTCAAGTGGGAGTCTTCCATGAAAGATGAGATGGACTCGCTTATGTCAAATAAGACGTGGGAATTAGTTGAATTACCACCAGGCAAGAAAGCGCTCCATAACAAGTGGATTTACAGGATCAAAGAAGAACATGATGGGAGAAAACGCTACAAGCAAGATTGGTTGTCAAAGGTTTTCAGCAAAAGAAGGTATTGACTACAATAAATTTTCTCTCCAGTCGTAAAACTGTCTACAATCAAACTGGTGTTGAAAATTGTAGCTGCGGGAGAATTTACATCTTGAGCAGTTAGATGTAAGACAGCTTTCCTTCATGGTGATTTGGAGGAAGAGATCTATATGAGGCAGCCAGAAGGCTTCATAGAGGCAGGCAAGAAAAACCTGGTATGCAGGTTGAAGAAGA